AGTGAATATATGGCAGAGCATTTTGAAAATGATGATATGCATGAATCCCTCCTCTTATATAGAATTTTGCTTGGAATATTAGCTTCTCTTATGATCAGAATCATCTTCCCAATACAAGCACAAGCAGTGTGTACCTTCCCTCCCCCGGGGTGCAGAAGCTCACTAGTGAAGCGGGCTCCTCAAGGCCGGGGCTCAAGCCCGTTTACAAGAAATGCCAAGGAACGGGATGACTACAGAATCGATACTATGCCCGGGAACCAACTGTTCGACACCCTACTGTCTCCTAACCCAGACCTTTAACTCCTAATGAGTCAGCAATCCTCTCCACCCCACCCATGAAAGGAACATGCTGATGAAGACACCCATCTGGGATCTCAGAGTTTTAAGTGCAAGCTTGTGTGTAACACATACAGGGCTTGGTCAGCACGCGTGCAGAAAGAGACCATGGCCAAAGACACATCAAAAGGAAGCTCTTTCAGGTAGGGCGATGGGAGAGAGATGGATTGGAAATTCAGGATAAGCATGGGCAAACTATTATGTATTATGTGTGGGGTGCATAAACAACAAGGTCCTATAGTACAAGGAGCTAACTATATTCAACATCCTGTAATAAACCATAATGGAACAGAAGAAAAACTAATCTGCATGTATGACCTGGTTCAAAAAAAAAAAGAGGAAACTCTTTCATTCCTCCTCAATTAACTAAATTAACTGAATAAATCTATTCCCGTATCTGGATATTATGACATTAGGATCATCCCACATAGAAAATTCAAATATTATCTCAGCAAAGTAAGTGCAGCTGCTGTATGTGGTACAGACCCAGCGGCCGCCCAGCAGGGTGGGGCCCACCAGGAAACCAGGAACCACATTATGCCGACGACCCTTTCCTCAAACTGAGAGTTTTCTTATTCTCCCTTTAAGGTGCAAGTAGCACAGACAAAACCAGAGCACTTCCGAGCACACCGCCAGGTCCTGACGAGGCAGGAAGGCGGCAAGAGAGGAAGCGGCCAAGACGCTGGGCCCCTGAGCACAGCTGTCCCCGAGGGCGCGGTCACACGGCATCGCCACGCGTGTCCACATGTCCACACACGCGTGCACCACATACGCATGGTCCCCTTGTGGCCCCAGCTGTCCAGGACGACGGCTCACTCCTAGAAAACGGACAGCCGCTAACGTGCTGGGCGTGCAGCCTCCGCCGGGCTCGGCACACCGTCCTCGGAAACTTTCCCAGTGAGCACAGAAGTGCTGCCGCTGCCCTCACGTTACAGATGAGGAAACTCAGGAGTTGTTCACCCGCCCGAGGGGAGAGCCGGGTTATAGCCTCCTACTCGGCAACTCATATTACTGAGTTGCCTGGAGCTGAACTGGCTGATACTTGGCTGCCTTCAACGTTCTTCAACGTTGCGAGCTATGAAATATTCATATGTCCTCAACCCAGATCATTCTTGTTCTCCTCCGCTTCAAACCCACATATTCACCTGCCAAGAGGCATCACCAACTTGACTTGAAGGTCGATGGGAACAGATTTTGTCTGGCTCCTCCGGCCATGTTCCAGGTGCTGGGACAGGCTCCTCTCGGGAGCTGCATAGAGCCAGAACCCCGGTGCGGTCCATCCCTTCCCTGCTCCCCGCCACAGTCAATCCCTGAGTTCCTCCGCCGCCCCGAACGCCCCCACACCCATCTGGTCCCCCAAGCCTCTCCTGGGTCTCTCTGGGACTGCTCGAAGCCCCTCCAGAGCCGGGCTCAGTCCACTGTCCAGAGTCTCTGCAGTCTGTCCCCGACCCAGACCAGCCCAACTCACCATGGACCCAGCACTGATGACATCAGCCCCACTCAGGGTCCCCAAGTGCACTCGGGACAGATTTCCCGCATCTCAGCCCTGGGACCCACGCCTTTGTGTGTCTCCCCAGGCTCCTGTGCTGAGCTCCTGCTCACCTGCCCAGCTCTCCCCTCAAATGAGTCCTCAATGAGACGTCTCCTCCGCTTCTGGCGGGGGGGGGGTTGTCTCTGCAGGGGGCACCCACCCTGCTGTGCCCCTGCCTGCCCCACATGCTCTTCTCAACGCCCCAAGCCTGGGTTCCGGGACCCTCACCCCGTCAGAGTGGCATCTCTAAACCACCCGCTGGACCTTAAAAACTGTAAAAGCAGGAAAGATGTTTACCTTCACCTCTAACATTCTGATTATTCTCCACCAGGAAGAGAGAGCCTGGCACACAGGAGGGGCTCAGTTAATACTGTTAATGAGTGGACAAATGATTATCATAAAACTGCATTCCCAAATACTGTTTCAGTTACATAATTCAGGATCTGTGATGTACATCCATTTTAAGTGCTACATCAAATAACTTCTACATGAATACACAGTGTTGTATGATTTTTTTAAAAAAATCCCTTGATCCACAGCTTTTAAAGCCCACAGGAAAAGAATATGATTTAAATATTAATTAGTTAATGTTGGCAAAGCAAGCCCAGCATGAAAAAGAACATGACTGACCAGTATGATGAGTCCCCTTCTAGACATAAATAACTACAGAATCACTCTATGAATCTATATTGTATCTTAAATCTAAGATAGCAACTGTGACTTTTGTAAACAATGAGCACTTCACCTAAGGAAGAACACTGAGATGTAAACCGATATCTACTATTGCTACGTTTTGCAGTTACTCCGGCAGACACGTCTCTATGAGAATTCTAAAATTCCAAAGTACTCTAAAGAAAATGGAATTTCCTTCAAGAACCAGAACATCCAGCGATTAACCAACAAAAGCTACTGGGAATGTAAGGAAGGACAAAAAGCACTTTTCAGAGGCCATAACCTTGAATATGCCATCACGAGTGTGTGTACTCAGTCCTGTCCGACGCTGTGACCTGCCAGGCTCCTCTGTCCATGAGATTTCCCAGGCAAGAATACTGGAGTGGGCTGCCATTTCCTCAGCTCTAGGGGATCTTCCTGACCCAGGATCGAACCCAAGTTTCCTGCATTGGCAGGCCAGTTCTTGACCACTGAGCCACCCAGGAAACCCATAATGAACACAGAACGAATTTAAAACAGTCTCAGTGATTTGCCTTGTTGATCTATTTCTCCTACGACAGAAGCCTCTTGCAGAGACTTAGCGAGAATTCGCATGCAGCTAATAAGCTGCTGTGTGTCCCGGAAGAACCTCGCAGCGCTGTTCAGAGACCCAGACCCGGCTAGTGCTCGCCTAGAAAAGCCACACCTTAGGGGGATGGAACAGGTCACCTGTGTCTGCAGGGACGCTCTGAACTGACTGCGCTCACTCTGTCCGTGTGCAATTCTCCAATTACAGCACGGCCTCGCTGCTAATACAACCCGCAAACATCATAGTGACTCCTGTCGAAAGGGGTTTCACGTCTGTTAAAAAAGAGAGCGTGGCCCAGTTTGAGCTGAGGTCACGTATGTCCAGAGATCTTTCAACTCAGCATTCAGATGTTATTTTTTTTCATAAACTGTGACAGCATCCTGAAATAACAGCTTTTCATTCTAAAACTATGGGTTTTATTAAGAGATAAGGCACTTACTAAAAAACTACAACAAAGGGCAAGGCATTCTGTCCATGATGTATGAAGAGAAAGCTTTAAACAACAAACAGGGATTCTGAAAACTGGATAAAAATGAAACCAAAGACGCTGATGAGGTCTGGTCGCAGGCTCTGGGGAGGGTTACTGCACACTCTTCTCTTCCTGAAAACCAGGCTGGGTTCCTCTGTACCTCTGCCACCCTCGCCACTGTCAACGACCAGGAATCCCACACGGGAACAGCAGGGCGTCCGGGTGGACCTGGCCGCCTGGACGGGATCCTGGATGTGTACCTTGGCGGCAAGGAAAACCTTCTTCATTTACAAAGGGGAGGTTGTGGCTACAGAACCTTCTCGGGCAACCAATGAGAAAGCATGACGGCTACGAAGCAGACGCTTGTGGGAGGACAGAGGGTGGGCTGGCATCCCGCAAAGGGACACAATGGAGGGGAGCCAGGGACCACGGGGTCCTGGTCCAGGGTCACAGGACAGACCTCCGAGGACCACACAGGCCTCCCGACCTCAGTGCTGCATGCCGAACCCACCCGCGTCCAGGAGGCCGCCACGCTCTGCGGACGGAATGGTTCCCACACGGAGGCCACACGTCTACGTAACTCAAGGCCTATGCACATGCACACGTGTGTATTATGCATTCTGGCCACGTCGGTGCCATGCGTTACAAAGAATAAAATCAGGACAAGGGTGAGGCCACGAGAGACCAGACTCGGCAAAAGGCTTCTTACGGAGCGATTCAGAAATGCGGTTCTGAACTAAAGACACCGCAGAGGTGGAGAGAATGGACCTGAGCCGAGCACACAGAGGGAAGGGAGGCGGAGAGCAGCGCCTGTGTCTGGAATCTAGAGACCCGCACAGATGAACTTCTGTGCAAAGCAGAAACAGAGTCAAAGGTGTAGAAGACGGACATGTGATACCAAGGGGGGTGGGATGAGTCAGGAGACTGGGACTGCCCAGAAGCCACCATATACCTCGGGGCTCTGTGGTGCCCTATGCGAAGGAAATCCAGAAAGAGGGGATATACGTGCGTGATTCACTTTGCAGTGCAGTAGAAACCAACACTTCAGTGTGAACCAATGACACTCTGATACAAATTTTTAAAAATACGATTCTGAAAACAGGAGGGAAGCATAACTTGGTCTCAAGTCATAACTTCCAGGGAAAATGTCCCAAGTGGAAAAGTCTGACTTTTAGAGTTTTTCATCACCGCCAGCAGGACCCAACGCAGCTGCACAGACCCACCAGCTGTGTCATTCGCAGCCCCGGGAGCTTCTGTGACTATCAGTCACCCCCGGACCGCTCGGCAGGGCTGGCTTCTGATTCAGAGCAGGGAAGAGCTACTTGCACACCTGGGAAAACACCGCGTGGAACCCTGAGGACCACGGTGACACCCATTCCCAGCTACCACGTGAAAACCCACTGCCCAGGAGCGGGGAGACCTACTTGTTTGGGGGCGTCTGCAGAGGTGGCGCGGGCGTCAGCACCTCGGAGGCCGTTAGACTCGAACAGCACTGCGGGGACAAGGACACGCGTCAACAGGCGGACCCGAGCTTCCCATCGCCGAGGACGCGCGCCCCGCACAGACCAAGCACTCGCAGGCAAAGAAGAAGCCAGCCCAGCCTGTGGCCGGGAAATAGCACTTTACCATAACACTTATGCTAAGAGACTGAAAACGTTGCCTGGGGCCCGTGGCCTTTTTAATTCAGGCTTCACCACGCAGCACCCCACCAGGGACAGCATTAATTAGCAGGGCGCGTGCAGAGGGCACCAGCGTGGCCCTGTCACTGTGCATCAGACCCTCTGGATGCAGATACACCCTCTGTATCAGAGGGGGCACGCGGGCCCGCCGGGGGGGGGGGCTTGCAGTGTACCCGCCACACACACGCTGCCAGTGCAGGCCAGCTCTCTGCTCACAGGCCAAGGAAAGGTGCCACTCAGCACCGCCCGGTGCCCAGGCGGCCGCTGCCGGCGAGCGAAGAGCCAGCGTGCGTCATGCCCACAGACAGCTCGGCTTTCAGCGCGTCCTGGTGGCAGCATGCAATTAAAATGCAGCGTTTGCAATACAGGCTTATCTCCAATCAAACCACAGGGCACTTGGATGCAGAGGCAAAGCCTTTTCAGGCGCAGGGGCTGGATGGAGAGTTTAGAGCGTGACCCCGCGCCCCCCACCACCGACCGGGGCCAGACCCCGGGAACAAGGCTGCATCCCAGGAGCCGGGGTCCGCAGGCATACCTGTGTGAGCCCGCATGTGCGCCCGCAGGTGGCTGGGCTGGTGGAAGCTCTTCCCACACTCCACGCAGATGAAGTCTCCCTGGTGGGCCTGCGTCCGGAGCGTCCCTGGGGGGCGACGCAGGTGCGGGGAGCGGGGGAGGGGGAGGCAAAAGGCAAGCATCATTAGTCCCTCTGAGCCCTAATGGGAGGCACCCCCAGGCCCTCGGCCAGGACCGAGAGGGCGGACAGGATACAGCGACTTAAACCTGCTCCAGTGATGTGTCCTCAGGCAGGCGGGGCATGGGCAGCAGGCACCCCGCATCCGCCAACAGAGATGCGGATAGACAGCTGAGGGGCCAGAAGGCAGGGCCAGTCCGGACCCCGCAGCGATGCCACACACCGAAGAGCTATGCCATCCCCGCCACCCCCCCCCCCCCGCGTCCTCCATGCCCACAGCGGGCACAGACAGGACACCTGCAAGGAGGCTGCGCTTGAGCACCAACCTCCTATTTCTCCTGGTCCTAAAAGACGCCCGGCTTTTGTTAGGGAAGGAGGCAGAAGACACTTTCTTGTTTGCCTGCCTTTTCTGTTCGAGGGAAAGGGCTTCCCTGGTGGCTCAGTGGATAAAGGATCCGCCTGCAAAGCAGGAGACTTGGGTTCAATCCCTGGGTTGGGAAGATCCCCGGGAGGAGAAAATGGCTACCCACTCCAGTATTCTTGCCTAGAGAATTCTTTGCACAGAGGAGCCTGGCAGGCTACATCCATGGGGTCGCAAAGAGTCGACACAACTGGAGCGGCTGAGCACAAACACACTCTGAAGAAAGGGCTAATTTTTCATGTAATATTAGCTCCCAAACCACTTTCTAGAGCCTGACCTTCCCTACCAATGGCTCACTGGTATCTCAATTCAATAGGAAGACAAAAATCAAAAATACTACCTAGAAAAAGTTATGCCTATAACAACAAATTTTTTTTAAATTACGTTCTCTGAGGTGAGCATTTCTGCACCCTGAGCCTGACGTTTGAATGCAAAAGGCGAGTGCAAGGATGACCAAGGGTCTTTGCCAAATTATCTGAAACCAAATCACGCTTCTCGTCCTAAGTCAAAAGAGACAGCATATAAAAATAATAAAAAATTAATGCTACTTGCCCTCTGTCCATGGGATTCTCCAGGCAAGAATACTGGGAGGGGGGGTGCCATTTCCTTTTCCAGGGGATCTTCCTAGCCCAGGGATCGAACCCCCATCTCTTCCGTCCCCTGCACTGGCAGGTGGGTTCTTTACCTCTAGCACCACCTGGGGAGCCCACACTACGGATACTGTTTATGAGATAACAGTCAAGGAAATGTGTGAATTGCAGAGCACATCCTGGCAGATTTCTCATGGGACACGAGATGTGAGTCTCCGAGAAACAGAACAATCTGCCCACAAAGTTCTCAGCTTCCCACAGCCTCCTTCAGGGACGTGAGAGGACGACAGCACGTGTTTTAACCCACCCGTCCCCTGTTATCAATGAAAGATCCCTTACTGACTAGACGGGGGCCCCAGTTCCCAGTAAGACATGGCAAGTGTCACCAGGGCAGGCGACCCCAGGAGCCACGGGCTCCTGTGTTGGGCCCACTCACCTCGTCCCTGGCTTTCTGATCGAGCTGGGGTGGGGCGGAAAGCTGAGGAGGACGTTCCTGGATGACCAACTGACGGGCTTGAGAAGGGGCTCCTAAGGGTGCTGAACTCCCCGGTCCTTCCAAGCACGGCAGCGTTAAGACCGCTGCTGCCAACAGCTCAGCTGCTCAGGACGGCCGCCCAAGAAGACCTCAGCTCCACCAGCACGCCTGCTCCTCCCTCCCGTTCACTATGAGCCCTGTCCCCTGGGCGCTATGAAGGCCCGCAGGGACAACGGCCGTGGGCGCCCAGATTTTCCCAAAAAGTAATGGGCTGCACCTAAACGCAGGTCTTCACTGCGCCTCCAGGTCACCCACTGATGATGAACCCCCCTCACGTAGCCTCTGCAGCTAATCCTGACAACATGAGAAATTAACCACTGCGATGCTTTTTTTCTAAGTAATTCCCAACCAAACCAGCAGCAGAAAAAGCAGGATAGTAAGGTTTTGTACCCACCCCTGAGCTCGTGTAGCCACTCACCCATTCTGATTTCCTTGTGCTAAGTATGCATGCACGTTCCCGCGCGCGAACACACACACACACACACACACACACACACACACACACAGATTCGTCCGTGCATTCTATCACATCATTTTCTCCCTACTTTTTAAAGAAAAGACCCTTGCCCTTTATGGTCAATAATATTATGCCCAAGCTACTCCAAAATTCTGAGCTAGTAAGAAAGGTTACACACTTCATTTGAATTGAAGCCGCTTCCTCACGCGGCTCTGACACTCTGACCTCAAAGGTAAAGTTGTGTATAAAGTGGGCTCAGAAAGGAAAGGGAGAGGGGCCTGGCGGGTCTTCGGGGGGCACCTGCAGACTCGCCCCCAAAGCCCTGCCAACACTCATTCAAGTTCATCATGCTGAGAGGTGACCAGCATGCCCTGCAAGAAGAAGGATCCCGCAGAGACTCTACCAAGATGCATACAACGGAAGCCCACCTCTTCCATCACCTGATCAGCGTGTCTCGGGCATAAAGTGGTTTTGTTTTTTTTTTTTTAGAAAAACAAGAAAAACCTTATATATTATCCTATCTGGAATTACCCTATTCTTCTATTTTCAATGTTTTTATTCAAAAATCCATGTCATCATCTACTGCAGGTTAGATACAAAGTCTGGACATGCAGATAATGTATTATTTTACGACTTATTCTATCCACAAACCATTCATGCTACCCTCACACCTGTTTCCAGACTGGGGATCTACATTGCAGAACGATCACAGAAAATGTAGCTCTTTTCATCCTTAAACAATTGGGCTTCAAGCCCTAAGGGAAGTGACAGTGACCGTTCCCATGTGATGTCTTTTCCCTTTCGGCAGAACTTTCAGACCATTCATTTCCACACAAACATCATTCGGTCAAAACGCAGGTGGGGAAAAGCTCTCTGAGAATCCTCTCTCTCTCTCTCTCTCTCTTTTTTCTTTTTAATTTATTTTTTATTTTTTATTAGTTGGAGGCTAATTACTTTACAATATTGTAGTGGTTTGGAATTTAGAAAGATGGTAACAATAACCCTATATGCAAAACAGAAAAAGAGACACAGATGTATAGAACAGACTTTTGGACTCTGGGAGAAGACGAGGGTGGGATGTTTCAAGAGAATCCTCTCTCTTAACCTCAGAAAACCTCAGTGGCTTAGAGGCATCACCTGAGTGCAACGTTCTACCTCAAGGCAATTCGTCCCTGAAGAATGACAGAATCACACCTCCAGCTCCACAAGGGCCGATCCACAACAGATGAGTTCCTTTCCTTTTATAAAATTCCCTTCTGCACGTTTCCATCTCCCTCACTACAAGGTGATGCTAATTGCAATCCACATCACCCACAGCCCGGGGTGGGGGGCTGCGATCCTCACCCCACAGATGAAATCCCACGGAGAAATACACAAAAACTGAGTCAGAGGACAGCATAATACCCTCAAAGTCCCAGGACCCCTGGAATAGGGCAGTTGCAAAGATTATCTTCCAAGGAACCCTAAAGGAAATCAGTCCTGAATATTCACTGGAAGGACTGATGCTGAAGCTGAAACTACAATGCTTCAGCCACCTGATGCGAAGAACTGACTCATTGGAAAAGACCTTGATGCTGTCTTGATGGAAAGATTGAAGGCGGGAGGAGAAGGGGGCGACAGAGGATGAGATGGTTGGATGGCATCACGGACTCAATGGACATGAATTTGAGTAAACTCCGGGAGTTGGTGATGGACAGGGAGGCCTGGCGTGCTACAGTCCAGGGGTCGCAAAGAGTCGGACACGACTGAGCGACTAAACTGAACTGCAAGATTATCTGGAGATGAATGGAGATTAATTAGCCAAGATCCTAGATTCCTGATGCCAAAGTCAAATACATACGTACTCAAGAAAAAAGAAAAATGGGTGCTCAACAAGGAGTGGATACCAAAACTGCAACAATTTGCTGCTGCTGCTGCTAAGTCTCTTCAGTCGTGTCCGACTCTGTGCGACCCCATAGATGGCAGCCCACCAGGCTCCCCCGTCTCTGGGATTCTCCAGGCAAGAACCCTGGAGTGGGTTGCCATTTCCTTCTCCAATGCATGAAAGTGAAAAGTGAAAGTGATGTCGCTCAGTCGTGTCCGACTCTTAGCGACCCCATGGACCACAGCCTACCAGGCTCCTCCATCCATGGGATTTTCCATGCAAGAGTACTGGAGTGGGGTGCCATTGCCTTCTCCACTGCAACAGTTTAGTTACTGCCAATTCAGCAACCTGTCGATGTAATGGCTGGGAGGTGGATGCCCCTGGTTCCCGAGCTGCGATAGGAGATGTCATCTCCGTCACAGGAAACACCGCTGCCCTGCTCACCTCTCTAAACTGAGACTTTGCCCGCCTTCTGGTTTCCCTGCAGCTGCAGCACTTTAAAAGCATCATAAACCCTCAGACAGTAAACAATCTGCCCGCAGTGCGGGAGACCTGGTTTCGATCCCTGGGTTGGGGAGATCCCCTGGAGAAGGAAATGGCAACTCCCACCAGTATCCTTGCCTGGAGAATCCCACAGACAGAGCAGCTTGGCAGGCTACAGTCCATGGGGTCACAGAGAGTTGGACACGACTGAAGCGGCTTAGCATGCAGGCACCTAAGAACCCAAAGCAGGGTGAACAAAAACACCATGGATCTGCATACTCACACCTGACATATTTCAGTGCCTCCATGAGAAGAGTGAATCATCCAAGAAGAGTAAGGAGGCTTCACGGACAACTTAGCATTTTTCACTTTAAAAGATAAACATGGAACCTCTGTTTAAGGGGGGAAAAGCCTTAGAACTATTTATTTTAAAAATCTTAAGGAAAACATTTCAGGCTACTGGTACTTCAAATTCTGTCATCTGAAGTTCTCTAAATGTTAACTTAGAATTTGTGTCTCCTTTTTGAGGGAAAAGGCAAGAAAGCAGACCTGGAAGTAGCACAAAGCGCCGCAGGAAGCAGGTGTGTTTGCCGCTCACGGGGCACCGACTGGCAGGTTTAGAGCGGAGAGCCCCACGGGCCGTGGGTGCAACACATGGAGTTCAAGTCTGGTTTACTAAGCGGAAGTCACTTCAACACCAGTGCAAATGCAGGGTCAGGGGGACAGACTCCAGGAAGCCCTGGACGGCAGGGAGAAGGTGACAAGGGACACAGCGCCTGCAAAACTCACCATCATCTGCGCCTGAGTCCTCTCTGCTTCAGGGGCCATGAACCGGTCTAAGAACTGTGGTTGGAATGAGGCGCAAAGGGCCAGCCTACAGACCTTTACTCCGTCTCAGAGAAAAACCTGCACTTCTCAGATACACTGCGGAGACCTGAAGCTGGTGCGTGTGTGTCTGACTCTGCAACCCCATGGACGGTAGACCGCCAGGCTCCTCTGTCCATGGGATTTTCCAGGCAAGGATACTGGAGTGGGTTGCCTTTTCCTCCTCCAGGGGATCTTCCCAACCCAGGGATCAAACACATGTCTCATATGTCTCCTGCATTGGCAAGCAGGCTCTTTACCACTAGTGCTACCTGGGAAGCCCCAAATTTTATTTTTTAAACTTTCCTTCTTTTCTGGACACACCATGGGGCATGCAAGATCTTAATTCCCCAGCCAGGATCTAACCCTTGCCCCCTGCAGTGGAAGTGCAGAGTATTAAGCACTGAACTACCAGGAAAGTCCTTTCAATTTATAATCAAGAACAAGGGCATCAGATCCCACGCATGCGTTCCACGGAGCTGGCAAACTTGCTGCAATTGCTATTATCAGTAATAGGTGATGGATGGCACCACCGACTCAATGGACATGATTTGAGCAAGCTCCGGGAGATGGTGAAGGACAGGGAAGACAGGTGTGGGGTCTCAGAGCCGTACACAAGTGAGCAACTGAACAATGACAGGCATCAATTCTGAGACACTGGGAAGATACGAAGACAATGACACGATGCATAATTTTTTCCATCAACTCCCCAAACGCTGTAAGGCACATTCCTGCTCTCCAGAGGCTCCACTTACACACCTGCACACTGACGCGCACTCTTAAAACCACAAACGTATAAAAGCAAAGCGTGAACAGTCACTTCAAGTAACATCCCGTCTTTGCAGAGACGGGAGGCAGTGGATGGCTACAGATGCTTGTTGAAGATGGCCGAGTGAGGACACACCCTGGAGGCCACCTGCTCGGCATCGAGGAGACGTGACTGGGGTGCAGGGGTGTTGCAGGAGCAGGGGGCCCAACGCCAAGTGCCCCGGCCCCTGGCGGGCAGTCAGGGGCACGAGAAAGCAAGCACACACACCTGTGCGCAGGGCGGGAGGACACAGCAGCTAAGCCAGCTGCCTAAAGACCCAGACCCAGCAGGCAGGCAGCTCACGGCCTTCTATAGAGGGGGCTCCCCGAGGTCCCCAGGCGGGAGGGCAGGCGGGGGGTTCCCACTGAGGTCCCGGAGGGTGGGGGGCTCCCCTGAGGTCATCAGGCAGGCGGGGGACTCCCTGAGATCCCAGGGGGCAGGGGGGCTCCCTGAGGTCCCGGAGAGGGGGCTCTCTGAGGTCCTGGGGGGTGGGGGGCTCCCTGAGATTCCGGGGGGTAGGGGCTCCCTGAGGTCCTGGGGGGTGGGGTCTCCCTGCGGTCCCGGGGGCGGGCAGGCAGGGCTGCAGCTCTCACCTCTGTGCTCGAGCACAGGGCCGCTGGCGCCCCAGCTCTGGTAGAGAGAAGCCAGGTCCTTCGGGATGTGCGTCTTGAAGATGCTGAGGAGGTCCAGGCGCTTCTCGGGGCCCTCGGACGCAGGATCCTGCTTGACGGGGTGCGGGGCGGGCAGGCCCTGAGGGGCCACGGGCCCTCTGGAGCCGGCCTTGGAGGGGGGCTCCCGGGGAGGTAGAGGGGCGCCCCCGTCGCCTTTCCCGTGCAGCTGGCCCTGAGGCTGAGGGCTGAATTTGGCTTTGGGGGGGTCCGGGGCACTGTGCTTATTTGGGGGCCCGAGGCCCGCCCCCTGCCTGCCGCTGGTTGGGGGCTGGGGGCCCGCCCGGGTGATGACGGTGGGCGTGGGGGTGGCGCTTCTGCTGAAGCCCCCGCTGCCCCCCGCGGGCCCGGGTCTGGGGCCGGCCTCCTGCTTGGGCTTGGGCTGAGGCTGCTCGGGGCCGGGGCCAGGCCGGGTCTGCCGGGGCCCGTCGGGGCCGGCCGTCCAGAGCACGCAGGGCGCCCCGGAGTGGCCCTCCTTGCTCCGGGGCAGGCCGGCGGCTTTCGTGGGCGCCCCCAGGGGCGAGGGGCTGCCTTTGGGGCCCAGCGCCCCGCCCGGCACCTGGGTCCGGGTGAACCTGGAGATGGGCAGAGGCTGGCACTCCTTGCCCCCAAGGGCAGGCGGGGGGCCCGTGCGTCCGCTCCGGGCCAGGAACACCAGGTTGCTCCTGATGCTCTTGTAGCCGTTGGGCTGAGTCCACTGCGGGGCCACGGCCTGGCCGCTGACCCGGTGCCAGACGCGCTTGTGCATCCAGAGCACCTCGGGGTAGTAGGTCTTGTGGCTGCAGTAGGGACATGGGTGCACGGCCAGCGCCGCTTGCAGAGAGGAGGCCGGCTCCCGGCGGCCAGGGTCGTCCCGCGAGGACCGCTCGCTCAGGTCCAGTGGGACCAGGTCTGGGGCCGGCGCCCGCTTCCCCACCACGGGGTGCTCCTTGGTGTGCAAATCCGGCGGCCTCTCCCGGGGGTGGGCGGCTTGGCTCTCGGAGGGCGGCTGCAGACCCGCTGCCGGGGCCTGGCGTGGAGGGAGGTCAGCCGCGTCCCTGGGGCTCGGGCCCTCCTGCTGGGGGCCACACGCCGGCGTCTTCAAGTCCACAGAACACCGAGGCGGCTCGGGTCTCCTGGGCGCATCCCTGCTGCTGCTTTCAAGTACGGACACGCAGGCCGCGATCCCCGCACCGGGCTCCCCGGCCGCTCTTCCTGACGGGCTGTGTCCCAGCGTGTGACTTTGGTCTCCGTTGGAGAGCATGGTCAAGGAGACGTCTTCAGGGAAGCAGCAACGGTGTGGCTTTGCCCCTGGAGGACCGAAACATAAAGTGCGACATTACTGTTTCTCATCAGGACAGGAGACAGCGGAGCTCCCCCAACTGCCCTGTGCCCGCAGAGGGGAGCGGGCGGAGTTCAGGAACAGTGCAATCCAGGGCCTGCATGGGTCACTCTCTCTTAAGGGCAGACCAAACTCAAGGGCCAACCGGCCTCAGTTAATGTTTATTTCTCAATTAAATGACTCAGTAGAATGCCAAGGAAGATAACATAGCTGCCCATCCAGTGACACATAACTGCACCACTACTACTTAACAGACAGGGACCAGCTGTATCAAAAAACAGAAATAAGGACAATTTTAATTCTTTATGGCAGATACGGCTTTCCGCAACTTTCAGCCTGTGGTCACGCAGAGGCAGGGCCAGAAAGCAGTGTTCTCCCCCACACTGCACCCCCAGGGAGCCTGCAACTGCTTCAGAAACTATGGGCCACTGGTCTGACCCAGGACGGGCCCCAGGACCATCCTGTAAGCCCAGGTCCCCAGCACTGCCAGCAGATTCTCTACCTTCTGAGCCACCAGGGAAGCCTGCGAAGTCGCACCAAACCTGGACACCAACAGCTTCTTTCAGGGGCAGGAGGGGGGTGATCACACTTGCCATCCCTCCCCTCCCCTCCCCACATCCGCTTCCTGGGGCGGGGGGTGGGGGAACGCCCCGGAGCAACAGTGCCCCTCCCTGGGTGGGGACCCCGCTCCCACCCCCCTGGGGCCTGCCTGGAGGCTCATGCAGATGATATGGCTTCCCCGTGGGTGAAAGTGACCCTGTCCAGTGACTGCTGGGGGAGAAGCAGGTGCTCTGGGGTAAACTCAGCTTGACTTTTCCAAACGCTGAACCATCCTTGGGTCAGGGGCTCGTAAGGGGAAGAGCTGAGCCTCGTGTGTGCAGCAAGTTTCTAGAACTCTTCATATCGGACCCCGAAAGGCTTCAGGTCTGCAAGTCCAGAAGACAGACTTTCTCTCCAAAAGCGGGGGTGCACGCACATGGTGATGCAGTAAAACTCAAATTGACAGAGCAGCAGAGGGGTCAGGAAGAGACTCTCCCCTGAGGCCCCCACCGCCCCAGGAGGGGATCCTGGAACAATCTGAGTGGGAGATTCAGCTAGCAGCCCCGCTCCCTTCATTAAAACCCAGATGTAATATCTGCAGTGTGCGTGCGTGTGTGCGTGTGCGCGCGCGTGTGCACACATACATGCACACTCAATTGCTCAGTAATGCTGGACTCTCTTCAACCCCATGAACTGCAGCCCATCAGGCTCCTCTGTTCATGGGATTCTCCAGGCAAGAATCCTGGAGTGGGTTGCCATTTCCTACCCCAGGGGATCTTCCCCACCCAAGGATTGGGCTTGAATTCCTTGTGTTTCCTGCACCGCCGGCGGATTCCTTACCACCAAGTCACCTGGGAAGCCCAAATCCTGCAGTGACGCCCCTAAATGGCAGCTGGCACTCAGGAAGGACAGCAAACTGCATGTTCAGGTAACGGGGTCTCCCTCACCAAGGGAAACAAAAACACATACACTCACCTTCTTAAAAACTGACTGAGGTTTCACCAGTTATTTTTGTTAATATTTATGAGTTCCCAGTAACTTTTGCAACTATTACCAGTTACCAAAAACTTGTTGTGACAGCGAGAACATCTGTTTCTAGATGTTTCTCAAAAGATGCTTCTTTAATAATGGTTCACCCTGCTTTAAAAGGGGACAAATATAAACACAGGGCAGAATCAAAGGTAAGATGTTGTAAGAGAAATGAGAGCCGTTTTGCATCATGGTTTAACTGAAACTTGAGAGTTACCCATATGAAATGCAAGAAATTAACAAAGAGAAAACCACATAAGTGTCTGGGGGTGGGGGGTGGGGAAGAGTCCCTAAAAAGTTATTTCAGCTAAAACTGTCTCAGAAACACTGATTCTCAATGAAATGCGATGGGGATAATTATCACTATCACAGCATATCTTGGATACAACACAAAAATGACTTAAGAAAAAGTTTCAGCTACAATATCCATGGGGCATTTCAATTATCAAACACGGTTTAATAAGCTTTCTGTGCAAGTGAAGCAAAGGAAATGCTGAAAACCCTGCCCCGGGCTGGTTCGATGGGGAAGTTCTCCTTCTGGGAGAATAAAGGGAAAATCACCAAGGGGCAAAGACAGCCACAGATCTGTCGCGTGCAGAGGGGCGCCCAGGAGAGCACATGATCAACTGACCTACTTGCAAGGCCGCTGGAAGGAGGGGCTACAGCAAACAAGGAATCACCAGGCTTCCAGACCCGGAAACGACACCAGCAATAAAGCCCAAGTCCCAGCTTAGCCTCACTGCCCTTTGTAAAAGCACAGGCTTTGTTTCCACAGCGAACAGCACAGAAACCACTTCTGATGGCCCAGTATCTCTCCAGGACGATTCGGTCCTACAGTCCTAAAGTATCTCTTTAAGACAAGCATTCTTTCTGAAAGGTTTCTCACTCATTACACATGCAATGTGAACAATAATAATAATATTAATAATAAGGTCTCAATGATAAGGAAACCAGACAGAACTAGAACAATAACAACTGAATAATCACGCTTAAATATTTTATACATGAACGAATATTTTATTCCCTAAATTGTTCCTGCTCCTTTTTCTGCTGACTGAATGCAATGTGCAAGTTCTCATTTTCAGTAATTAATCTATTCGCATAAATAACTCGCAAAACTAACTTTTCTGCGTTTATGGAAAAACATGTATTCAATAAATATCTTAGCACTCTGGAAGCCAGATTTTGATTTCTGAAGAAAAAAGTTACAGATTAAATACAGGACTTCTGACTAAACCAAGTAACCAGGTGCCAAAAGAAAACTTAACACTTGCAATCTGGGAAATAACTTTCTTAAGAACATTCCTGTTCAGAGATTACAGAATCAACATTTTAGAGGTTGATCAAATATCTCGTGTGTCCACCCAAGTCCAGTTAATGGACAGCAGTGTGTCCTGCCTAAAACATAGTCACATTCTAGAAATCTAGAACTTACTGCTTCCTCACTGACACAACCATAAAAATATGTCACTCGGGTCACTGGGGTATTTTTGAAAAAATCAAATCTATGCTGAAGTGAACAGAATTCAAGTCCACTAATATTTTCATGGCTACTGTACATTTTATACACCCTTCTTCAACCCCAAATCCTAACAGGAAACTATAAGTTATCCATTTGACAAAGTAAAAGTAAAAAGAAACCACAAAACAAAACTTTACAAACCACGCTCTGAAGAATACTTGAACATTTCCACGTTACAAAGGCAAACAGAAAGTAAATCGATTACCATAAAGAAGCATGTTAAAGTTGAAGGAACTGGTGGAAGAAGGTGTTTCTATTTTAAACTGCCGCCGAGGGAGAGGAGGGAGGCCAGGGGAGCCTCGCATGTGAACCTTGCTTTGCAAAGCCCTCCAGTCCTGTTGCTTCCTTAAGGACAGGGCGTCCAGAACTGCCCCTCGGCCTCTACGAGGAACCCACTCCACTCAAAGCACCTGTGTTTGTTCTGTCACCTTTTGCGTTTTAAGAGAGCCAGGTCGGAGCAAGACTGCAGAAGAGAAGGAACCTGCAAATCTCCAACATATAACACGGACTATGGATACACACTAGCCCTTGAGTGGTTGGAAAGCTCCGCTGCTGCTTTACTATCCCAGGATACAAACCCGCATTCTGTGCATTTAGGAACGGACCATAATGACCCTCTTTAGGAAACCGGGGCTATTTCTCAGCACAGCCTTCAGATGCAACGCCGGACGCACGCCGACCTGCAGAACAAAGCCCGCGGGGCCGGCGCCGGCCGCGGGGGAGGGGCGCGGCTTCCGGGGCCGTGCGGGGACCTCGCCAGCAGAGGGCGCGCGCTCCCCGCGCTCGCTGGGCGCGCGGCCCGGCTTTCAGAAGGGGCCCAGGCGGCATCAACCTTCAAACAGAATCCTCAGATTCAGCGAGCCAAACAGGGACGCAGAGAACTCGCTTAGAGTGTGCATTAGTACAATCACGCAGTTTTCTCCTCAAAGTACAGAACGTATCTGAAATGGATAAAAGGAGTTCATCCAAAGGTCTTAAAGCAAGTTCACCAGTATTTTCAGAGAAGAAAACGTGCACAGCTTTAAACCAGTGATGCACTTGAATGATCTGACTAGAATGAACTTAGCTAAAATAACGGATCTACCGCATTGGGCTGCTGGGTTCAGACTGTAAGGCAGCACTGTCAAATGTCCAGTTTTTGGACAGAAACGCACAGAAAAGTGGCGCCTCAGGGATCTGGCCCAACATAGGCATGACGGGGCCTGAGTTCTTCAGGTCCTTCCACCCACAGAACCGCTGTCTACATCAAAATCAAAATCTTTTCACTCCTGGAGTGCTGTTGTATGTGTAGTCAAGAGTGGGGGGCAGGGGCTGATTGGTCCGGGGACACAGTTTCCAAGCAGCACTTGGCAGGATTTGTCACCTACACACCCGCAAAGTGAAAACTTTATTATTTCATGAAGCTGACTGTATGCAGGAAACACCCCTTCCTGGCTCATTCTGCATCTTCTCTTAGGGCTCCAGCCGATGTGTACAAGGGTGGTCCTGACCTCACACGGGGTTACCTGCAAGTTCAGAGCCTTGACCCCAGAGAAGGAACCACAGGGATGCTAACTACGCAGCGGCAGCTTGTCTGCCGAGTTGTCTCATCCCAACCAGAAGCTGGGCACCGGGATCCTGGAGCCTTTGATGGTTACACATGTGTGAATACAAAATAGAGACTTTCTGTATTGCTCACATGAGGAGCTCAAGCTACTTTATAAACAATAAATCACAAATGTTTCAGCCCACCAGAGACACTGAGTGGAAAGAATTACTTTATATTTTACTTAGTAATTGCAGCAAATCTTTCCAAGTCACATCACTAAACTGTTTCTGGACTCTCAAGCAGGCAGTATAATGGGTTATAGTTAAACTGTTTTTAATTAAAATGCAAAA